GCAGAATTTGTGGGCTGCCAATTGGGATTTTCAAGCACATCCGGAAGGACACTAGGGGCTCTACAGGCCTGTCTGCGAATTCTTGGTGGCTGCGGGACACTACTTGTGCTCGCCACCCCACCAGCTTGTACTGCACTTATGGGACTCGCCACGTCACCAAGTGACACTGCGGTGCTGATATGTGTAAGACCAGGATGTACTTGGCCGCTGGTGCTCACCAGTTCTCCAAAACATAGACTGGCACTAGTACTGGCACTCTGCTGCATATGAGACTCATCAAAATTTACCGGCAAGTGCTAGCAGAGATCAGGCCTGATTCTGCAAACACTGCGGTTTTGTGTGCAATGTATCAAGTGACAGTGACCTACTGACACTGCACTTGCTGGGGGAGAGGGGGGGGGGGTAAGCATAGGGGCTAAATACAGGTGCTGGGGCTAATCCCGCTAATGCTGCATTTTTGGGGACACTATACTAATATGAACGCTGGTACAGTGCTGATCTATTCAAAGATATTAAACAGTTCAGACACTATACTAGCAATGGAGGTTTATTGTATATGACTGGATGGCTGTGCACAGCCATCCAGAGCAGTGTACCCAACCTGACAGGGAGGAGGACTGTTGGTAAACAAAGCAGCCCTCCTCCCCGTTGGTGATTATCGGTAATCACCAGGCACCGGCGGGTAATCACTGGCCAGGACCCAGTGATTGACAACCGCGAATGGCTGTGTGGGTAGGGCGCACGCGCGGCCCACATGTGCCCCCTACCCGGAGATGCAAGATTACGCATATATATGTGATTTTGCACACCCATGCCGCCCTGTAGAAGCGGTTAACATACAAAATACATTTCTAAATAAGCCCTGATTGACTCATCAGCACTAATTAAATCCTGCCTTTCCCTTCACTCTTTAGTGTATATTTTGCCAGTTTTTTAAGTGTTCACATGACTGCAGACTAAGCAGCCTGGTAAACATTCCCCACTACCCAGGCTTCATTCACGCCTGCCTGTGTTTCCAGAAACTTGTGTAAAACAAGCTAAAATATTGTAAAAGAATTTGTAAATTCTGTATAAAATTGTATTCTATTTTGTATGCTTTTCCTGTGTATTGCACACGGCATAATAATGTTTTCATTACATATCTGCATTCCTTCAAGTCCTGATTAGAAATTGACCTGCCTATGTAATGCCCCTTGTTACCATAAAAGTACAATTGTAATATCAATGTGGTACCTACATAATCATGTGTATAAAAAACTTCAAATGCGCAGAATAAACAGAACAGTTATTTGGAAAGATGATGAGTGTATCTTTTTGTGTCTGTTCCTTACTACGGTAGTTATTAATTTGGAACCACTAATCAATATGAGGATAGGAGATACCTATCTATAAAATTTCACTATTAATGTCCAGAATAGTGATGGGCCGAACACCCCCCTATTCAGTTCAGTTCGTGGGTTCCCCGCTGACAGCTGAATGTAAAAAGAATTGCCGGCATTCTCAGGCAATTAATTTTTTTTTTTTTAAACGCCCCCATCCGTACCAAGCCCTTCGGGTCTGGTATGGCTTTTGAGGGGTCCCTCCCAAAATCCATACTACAGCATTATCCAAGCATGCAGCCCGGCTGATCAGGAAAGGGGGGGACAAGCGAGCGCCCCCCTTTTCAAGATACTCAAATGAACACAGGATGTTCCTACCAAGCTTGTCATTGTAATGACCAATTCACACCTCAGACCTCCCCCACCCTTGGAAACAAAAGATATGTTAATGACCATTCACACCTCAAATTCCTCATGCAGACCCCTGCCAGGTGACCTTAATGACTCACTCCACCAGACACCTTTCCCACCCTTGGAAACAAAATAAATGTTAATGAGCAACTCACACCTAAGCTAATCTCAACACATACTCCTGTCTCTGCTTCTACTCTCTGTATTTCTCTGAAACAGTCTGAATATTTACTAATCTACCACTTTTCAGTGCATTCTGGGCATTTGGGAGGTTCTCCTGTGCTTATCTTTAAAAAATGCTTCTAAAACGCAAACGCGCATAAACACGTTATGCAAACGCGGCTAAACAGACGGTTTTTAACCTACGTTTTTCAGCAGTCAGTTTCCATCATTCAGAAGTGGTGTCCCGTGTACATGGGGCCAAAGAGCCAATTCACACTGACTTGCTCTAAAATGTATAGAAAATGGATGTACATTTCCATCCATTTTAGTCGCGTGCTGACATCCGTTGACATACATTTTTTTTATGTCCACTGGCATGCAGTTTAGAGTGCATCAAGCATACTGAATTTTCACAGAATAACCTGCGCATTGTGTATGCTTACATCTGTTGTTGCATACTTGTTGCATTGTAGTGTAATGCAGGCCAACACAGCATTATGCTGTGAATAAGAAACATTGGAAATGATTGTCTGTCGGATCGCCTTCCATTGACCTGCGTTTTATAGCTGCACTAAAACATAGATCAACGCACTGGCATGAATTGGCCCTAAAATGGATGGAAATGTACAGCTATTTTCTATACATTTTAGCACAACTCAATGTGAATTGGCCCTCAGTAAATCTCTCCCTATCCATCTATGTACACAAAGGCATTTATAGGCATATTAGAAAAGGAGCGTTTGCAGAATGAAAAAAAAACATTAAAAGCGGATCTGAAGAGCAGAAAAACGTTTGTAGCACTACCCCCTTAGCAATCGCAAAGATTTTGGGTACCCCTATAGTGCTGCACAACCAGGCAAAATGCATTTTCACCCAGAATTGCAACCAGGAGTCAGAGATCAGTCCTTGAGCTTTGTTTTTGTGATTTTATTAGGGGGATTTGAACTGGGACAGGGTTAGGGTATACAGGATGCTCAATGGAACCGATGAACTGAGGACAACTTCCTGGAACTATTTACAAGAGTCTGCTGGAGAGCTAGCCAGCATCTCCTAGTGTACCACCCCAAACCCTAGATAGATTCCTCTTCCTCTTCCCAGCTGTCTGGAGGTATCCCTTTAAGAGATTCGACAGTCCAGTAGGTGGTGAATCTGGTTTCCCACTAGAGTGCTCCTTACCCTATTTGGCCCAGGGGGTGCAGGTCTACTCACTCAGGGCCGCTCCTTTCCTGCCACACAGGTGGTCCTCTCTCAGGGGGCTGGTGAAGTCCCAAGTTTTCCACCTTCCCAGCTCCACTGCCTGTAGGCGAGGCCCTCTCTCCATCTGGGCCCCATCCCATGCTCCTGCCTTCAGTGTCACATCTTCTCTGTCTGTCTTCCACTCAAACTCTCCTGCAGCTGAGCAGACTCAATCAATTTAAGGAGTTAATGAAATTTAATGGGTAGAAATTTATATTCTGGCTAATTGAATCCATTAAATGCTTGACGTGCCTAACCGTGCCGAAACATGTGAGGGACTAAACAGACACCCTGTGTGCATGAGGCCTTAACAGTAAAGAATATTAATTAATTATGTAAAGACAATAAAAGAAAATTAAATAAAGATTTAAAGACCACACCAAAAGGAAGTCTTGTCTGTTGCAAAAAAAAGAAAAAAGTCGATATGATTACTTTTTACAATTGCAAAATTGTGAAAAGGGCGATGGTCTATGTCGGGTAAACAGCTGTGAGAGCTGAAGTGGTCGAGGTGCTTTTGGCTTTCACTACCCAGCACCTTATTATATTCAGCCGTCATCACCTGCTTATCTCGGCTGTCTTCAGCTCTGAAGTGGCTGGGCAGAGAATGGCCTGTGTCTGGCCAAATCAAGTGACTGTTTACAGAAACAAGGTGCTTCAAAGGATGATTGGGCTCACCCTTCATAGTCCGCAACATACCAATCCACATGAGATCGTCAGGCTGCTCGTGGCACCAGAGTGATTTTACGTCAGATGAAGAGCAGAATACAAGTGGAATCCAAAGACTTGAGTTTTCCAGTGTAGAAACCTGGCTACTATCAAAGCACAGAAAATAATACAATGTTGTAAGTTTATAGCAGAACTGAACTATATCTGATCACCACAAACTGAAAATCCTATTTATTTTATTGTCAATATTTAAAGTATTTACTTCCCCATCCGTCCATGTCTCCATGCTTTACTTTGGTGAGAAATCACTTTGAAAAACACCACTCTAGCATTTCTAGCCACAACCATCTTGAGTAAGGGCAGATGATTTATTTCAGGTATTTATCAATTTTACACAGCACTTTAGATCCATATTGTACATTCACATCAGTCCCTAACCCTCAAGGGGTGTACAATCTAAGGTCCCTAACTCACATTCATACATACACATACTAGGGCCAACTTAGGAGGCAATTAACCTACCAGCATGTCTTTTAAGTGTGGGAGGAAACTGGACTACCTGGAGGAAACCCACGCAGGCACAGGGAGAACATGCAAACTCCAGGCAGGTGGTGCTGTGGTTGGGATTTTAACCAATGACCCTAGTACTACCAGGCGGAAGTGCTAACCATTTAGCCACTGTGCTGCCCAGTGATCCATGTAGCGTTTACTTTCTATCATATAGAGGATCAATCAGTGCAGCCAAAAATATCTTTAAGTAAAAAAAAAAGTATAAATAAGAAACTGCAAACTAAACACAATAAAGTGATTTCACTACACCTTACAAATACAGTGCTACCTCGGTTTACGAATTTAATGCATTCTCCGGGACTTTTCGTATTGCGAAAAATTCGTAAACTGAAACACGGTTTCCCATAGGAATGCATTGAAAACCAATTAATCCGTTCCGGAGGTCATAAAAAAAGTAAAAAAAAAAAAACTATTTTATCTGTTCAAAATTCTTTATAAAGTGCACTTTAAAGGCATAAATACTGTACAGGGACATGATTAAAAATTTCCAGAATGGCTCCAGAAACAATTGAGTACTGACGTGATAATTTTTTTATTTTCACTAACATACAATTTTGAGGACAAGCTTTCGGGGTATGTCCCCTTCTTCAAATTCAGGTACCTGCCCCCCTCCCTCCCCATAGGTCTGCAGTCTCATGTACCGTATGCAGTCTCTCCTATACTATGTCTGCAGTCTCTGGTCATTTCCTGTACATGTCCTCCTGTACTATGCAGTCCACATCTCCTGTACTGTATCTGCAGTCTCTGGTCATCCCCTGTACTATGTCCGCCGTCTCTGGTCATCTCCTGTAGTATGTCCACAATCTCTGGTCATCCCCTGTACTATGTCCACAGTCTCCCCTGTACTGTGTCACAGTCTCTGGTCATCTCCTGTACTGTGTCCGCAGTCTCTGGTCATCTCCTGTAGTATGTCCACTCTGGTCATCTCCTGGTACATCCCCTGTACTCCTGTATATGTCCACAGTCTCCGGTCATCTCCTGTACTGTGTCTGCAGTCTCTGGTCATCTCCTGTACTGTGTCCGCAGTCTCTGGTCATCAGCTGTACTATGTCTCCTGTCACTCCTGTACTGTGTCCGCAGTCTCTGGTCATCTCCTGTACTGTGTCCGCAGTCTCTGGTCATCTCCTGTAGTATGTCCACAGTCTCTGGTCATCCCCTGTACTATGTCCACAGTTTCCGGTCATCTCCTGTACTGTGTCTGCAGTCTCTGGTCATCTCCTGTACTATGTCTGCAGTCCATGGGTTCAGAATATTTTTTTTCTTGTTTTTCTCCTCTAAAACCTATGTGCGTCTTATTGTCAGGTGCGTCTTATGGAGCGAACAATACAGTACATAAACCGAGGTACACCTGAGTACCTAATAAAACACAATGAATATTTGAAGCATAATACACAAACAGAAAATTAAAAATAATTTACAAAAAACACTTTACAGATAATTAAACAATTTAGTTTATAAAGTCCAAATAATAGTGCAGTCCAATGAAAATGTTTTCAAATACACCATTTGATACACGCGTATGAGATCTTGTGATAAATAAAAAAAAAACTCAAATGAACGCTGTGCCTCCACCACCATTGAACAATGGCCACTCACCTCAAATACATGACCTCTGTATAAACAGGTCAAAAGGCACTTGCCCATCTAAAGGGTTATTTCCCAATGTTTTGGGATACTTCACTCTCGTCCTCGCCAAGCATGGAAATGCATTGACATGGAAGTAAAAAAAGAAAACCACTAGCGTTCTCAGTTTCAAAATTTACTAATACTGCTCAAGAAATAAAATGGCACTTACAAGATCCAGCACTAAAGCCAGTGCTCAGTACAAGCACTCAAACAGATCGACATTCAACCGCATGTGAGATGGCCGCGGCATGACATCACAAACTCAGCTCCGCCCCTATATGCATTACGTCCGTAGATGTCAGTATACTAATTACGAGCAAAATGTTCGTTCTTTGGATAATTTCATATGAACTGGATGATGGTTGGCTCTCAAAAACTATGTACTAACGAATAGATTATCTGATGATCGTTCCAAATGTGTTTTTTTTTCCTCTGCGATTTTCTTATCATGTGTACCAAGCAGAAAGATTCAAAATGGTCACTGTTGATTGAGAGAGCTTAGTTCCACTTTAACCACTTGCCGTCCAGAGGACTTACCCCCCCTTCCTGACCAGGCCATTTTTTGCAATACGGCACTGTGTTACTTTAACTGACAATTGCGCGGTCATGCAACGCTGCACCTAAATGAAATTTACGTCCTTTTTTCCCACAAATAGAGCTTTCTTTCAGTGGTATTTGATCACCTGTGCTTTTTTTCTTGCGCTATAAACAAAAAATGACCGACAATTTTGAGGAAAAAAAACAGTATTTTTGACTTTTTGCTATTAAACATGTCCAGTAAAAAAAATATAAAAATCAAATTTCATCATTGAAAGTACTCATATTTAATGTTTAATTCTATCAACTATTTGTACTTTAATTCTTGAGCGTAGGTGCGGAAGTGACAACGGCATTTCACAGAATCAGGAGGCTCCTGGTGACACGATTCCATGAAATGCATTGAGGTGGAAGCTGTTCCTGTGTCCACTTAAAGGGAGAGAGCCATCCAACCAGGGATCATCTGGGGATATTGATTGCTCTTTGACTCCATGAGGGTTGAGTTTTTGAGGTGAGGGCACACACTAGAAGGTGATGAATATAATTGGCACCATAAATATGAGCACACAACAAAAAGTGGGAATATAAAAGTTGAAGAATTGAAAAATCTGGATTTTTATATTATATATTTTTTTGTTTTGTGCTATAATTGTTTTTTTTTTTTTTCACTTGTTGGGACTAATTTCTTCATTTCTTGTGACTTTTTTTTTATTTATTTATATCAATTGATATATGTCACGGTTTTATAATTGGTCACTTTGATTTTATATTTGCTTTGGAATGTATTTCACCGTTAATTAAGGTAATAAGGATGCAATGGTTTATTAATATTCTTTCACTTTAATATTATTTATATTATGATTTGACAATATGGTATTTTAGTATTTACAGCGCTACACCATCTGTTCAAAATCATTTTTTCAGAGGGTTGGCCATTGTCATCACTTCCGGACCCCATTGAGCATCACGTTTGGTGTTCTGGAGTCTGTTCGTGGAACGCATGCCGGCCTTGTTAGAAAGAGTGGTGGTGCTGCGGTTCTTAGCATTGTGCAAATTCCCAGTGCCTGGAGTGGTATTTATTAACTACTTGCCCTCTAAAGGATTTACCCCCCCCCCCCTTCCTGACCATGCCATATTTTGCGTTACCGCGCTGTGTTACTTTAACTGACAATTGTGCTGTCATGCAATGCTGCACTCAAATGAAATTGATGTCCTTTTTTTTGCACGAATAGAGCTTTCATTTGGTGGTATTTGATCGCCTCTGCGGATTTTATTTTTTGCGTTTTAAAAAAAAAGACCGACAATTTTGAGAAAAAACAGTATTTTTTACTTTTTTCTATTAACCACCTCTCGTCCGACCGTTGTATATAAACGGCCAGACGATGGCAGTGCAGAGGCGGGTGACCGTTTATAAATGGCATCCCTGCCCAATGCTTGTGCTCCCTCCCTGGGAGCACGCAGCACCGCGATCTGGTGCCCGCTGTTTCTTCCGGACACAGTGGAACACCGATTGTCATACGGGACCTCTGTGTGAGGTCCTGATCATGTGATCACTGATTGGCCAATCAGTGATCACATGAATAGTAGTAAGCAAGATGTCACTTCCTGACATCATTGCTTACTACGTGTGAAATCTGTGAATGATCACAGAGGTCACATGATACAAGGCTATTCACAACAGCCTTGTACCATGTGACAAGCTGTGACCAATCACAGCTCACACAGTAGTTCTCAATGGCTGCAAGAATGCAGAAAAAAACCTTTACATATACCCAATGAAGTGACTGTCCTCAGGTGCTACATAGAGATGAAGAAAATCCTCTGACATAAGTTGAACCTGTTTATCTACATTACTCTCCTCTCTGCATCCATTCAAAGTGATGAATTTATAAAGTTTGTCTGACACTTCAGAAAAAAGGGGGTGGAGAGATGATGTTACACTCTTAAGAGCTCAGTGAGGAGAGCTCTGAGAGCTTATTGGAGGGAAGAAACACACACACACGGGCACACAGGAACAGAGCTGAGGCTGTCAATCTCCTGTCACCATTTTTCTCTTGGTGTCAGAAAAATTTGTCAGACTTGATTCATGCTGACAGCAGAGGAGGGAAGCAGCAGACAGAAATGACACTTAGTGTTCTTAATTGAGACCAGTACATACTATAGAGGGATATGCTTTGTTCATATTTCATGTCTGAGGTTTACAACCACTTTCAATCTGCATCTTTTCTTTCCTTAATTACAAGGATCAGCACAGAAACCACATTGATCATTATAGTATGTGTCACCCTGCAGCACTGATATCAACTTCATTGTTCTACTAAGTGACTTCTTTCTGGTGAAGATTTCTCACTGATAGGCAGAGCTGCAGGAACCAGATAACAATACAAATGGGTCCCTAGTGTGTAATTAATCTTGTTTCTCCTTATAGATTAGTTTTGTTATCAACATTTATAATACAAAGTCGTAAATTTAGCAGACTTTTGTTGTTTGGAGACATTGTCAAACACTTGATTATAAATGGTATATTTGTAAAGAGGTGACATGTGCTGGTGGCATGCCAGCCTACCTGGAGGAGATCCACTATTCCACAAGAACCTCTTGAGCAGCCCATTGATTCATAGAGTCATTTTTTTTTCCACCAGCAAGTTAAATTAAAAAAAAAAAAATTACTTGATTCCCCCATCCCCACACTTGATGTGGATGAGAAGGGAATCCTTCCACTGAGCTATTGTATTCTGACAGCAGGTAGATTTCCCCACCATCAGAATACACTGATCAGTGGTGTCGGGTATAGTCAGCAGCACTGATCGAGTGGGGAAAATTTGAGAGGGCGGTTGTACAATCGGTAGATCGACTTCTGTTTAATCTCCCTGTACATGGATCGAAATTCTTCCAGTCCCTGCTGAACCAACTGATTTTCTATCCTGCTTTAGTAGTAGACTCACACAGGTGGAGCCTAGGGCAAACTGAAGGATAAATATTAAAGAGTGAACTGGATCGGGTTCAGTTCACTGGAAATCTGCAATCCCAACCTAAAATCCACAAACCCTATAGGGGTTTATTTACTAAAGCTGGAGTGTGCAAAATCAGGCTCACTTCGGCACAGAAACCAATCAGCTTCCAGGTTTTATTGTCAAAGCTTAAATAGCTTCCCTGGCGGTATTCCCGAGTGTAGCTCGGGGTAAAGTTTCAGTACCACAAGCAGTAACCCAGAGCTACATTCAGGAATACCCTGCAGTGCTGCTCCGGGATCTGTTCTTCTCTTACCTTGTCCTGCGCTCCCGCGATGTCCCTCCTGCAGTGTCCCCTGTAATGTCCTCCGGCAGATGCCGGCATCTGTCTTCTGGGTTCTGTCACCTGCGAGCGTCGGGACGTACGGGGGACGGAACGGCGGGAAATTTGAAAATGACAAAAAGTGACATTCACTAAATTCACTAAAAATCACATAGTATAACATTACTGTATCAAACCATTTCACATACATTTTGTCCCGAGTGCTTTGTCCTGTCCCTGTCTGCATTTTTACTGTTCTTTCTGCCTGGAAACTGAGAAACATCCATGGTGTCCAAAAAAAGCGTCCCTTTAGGTCAAAAGCGGTTTTAGATCGGCTAGAGAACAGCGATAGTAAACTACTTGCAGAATTGAGTGATAATGATTCGTGGGGAAATTCGTCATCAGACACTGAAAACGATTCTGCGACTGAGCTCAGTGATGTGCGAATTTCAGTGTTTTTGGTTTGAGTATATTATTGAATTAAATTTATTATTATTATATTTATTTTTTATGATTATTTATTAAATTATAATTTATGATTTTGTGTTTCAAATTTTATCATACCCGGGATGTTTACTAGACTCTTGTTCGGACAGATTTAATGAGTTATTCCTAAAAATTACAGGCCTAAAATAAAAAAAATACATATTTCCACACAAAAAAAAAGTACCGCTTTGACCACAGAAATACTGACATAATCAGACCTCTAGGGAGGTTAAACAAGCTGAGGTTAGAAGCTGATTGGCTGCCATGTACAGCTGCACCAGATTCTGAGTGAACCAGCTTTAGTAAACCCCCCCGATAATGTGCTAAGCTTGCAGGAGCTTCTTTTTGGGTAACAAATGCACATGGGGCTGCCCTATGCACGACACATGATATTGGCAAAAATCACTTAACAAAACTCTAGAAAGCTTGGAAAAAATCATGAGAGGGAACATTTGGGATGCACAGGTGCATGAGGTTCGGAGTGAACCAGCTTTAGTAAATCTCTCCCATAGTGTCTGAACCTCATTGAGGTCTAGGGGAGCCAAATTTTGTTTTCCTTTTCTGGCCTTTTTAAAAGCCACTTTGCAAGTTTTGGTAAAAAGAAATGACATAGGTAACCGGGGACTGCCATGGGGAACATGTACCAATGCAAAATAAATGTTTTAAAAATAGCATTTAGTGGGGAGCATTTTTTATGTTACTAAACCCACAACAGTAAAATCAGTCTGTATATGCAGTAAAGCATGCTTGGTATACTCACTGTGGAACCTAAGGGAGTAATACTCTACATTGTGTGTAAAAAGATGTTTGATCCTGTCTTCTCTGCCCCTCCTCTTGTTCAAATGTCCACGTCTTATCTCCTGATAAGACAGACTGAACTCATAGACATTCTGCACATGCTCATTTTAGTGTGTATTGCTAGAGAGGTTTTTTTTTTCTTGGGAGAGTGCATGTGATCAGCACAGGGCCAATAATCACTGTCCAGAGTTCAGGGGTTCTGCATCCTCCTAGAGCAGAAAGAAAACGCCTCCTACAAGCTTTAACCAGTGCTCTGCTGGACACTGATAGAAGTCACAAGACTGCTCTAACCACTGATGAGGAAAGGAAAAGTATTTAGCAGTTTATATTTACTAAAATAATTGCATTTCCATGTTCTGTGTACTCTGGGAGACCAGATATAGTGAATGCAGGGTTCTGGGTTTAGCAACACTTTAACTTCACATCAGATGCCCTCCTTCACATCAGAGGTCCATTCAACACATCAGATGCCCCCTTTCACATCAGAGGTCCATCCACCACATCAGAGGTCTCCCTTTCACATCAGAGTTCCCTATCACATCAGAGGTCCCCCCTTCACATCAGAGGTCCATCCAACACATCAGAGGTCCCCCTTTCCCATCAGAGGTCCCACTTTCACATCAGAGGTCCCCTTTTCGCATCAGAGTTCACTATCACATCAGAGGTCCCCCCTTCACATCAGAGGTCCATCCAACACATTAGAGGTCCCCCTTTTGCATCAGAGTTCCCTATCACATTAGAGGTCCCCCTTTCACATCAGAGGTCAATCCACCACATTAGAGGTCCCCCTTTCGCATCAGAGTTCCCTATCACATCAGAGGTCCATCAGACACATCAGAGGTCCCCCTTTCACATCAGAGGTCAATCCACCACATCAGAGGTCCCCCTTTCGCATCAGAGTTCCCTATCACATCAGAGGTCCCCTTTCACATCAGAGGTCAATCCACCACATCCGAGGTCCCCTTTTTGCATCAGAGTTCCCTATCAAAACAGAGGTCCCCCTTCACATCAGAGGTCCATCCAACACATCAGAGGTCCCCCTTTCGCATCAGAGTTCCCCCCTTTACTTCAGGGTTCCCCCATCAGGTCAGAGGTCCCCCTCCACATCAGAATCACCCCTTCACATCAGAGCCCCCCCCTCACTATATCAGAGTCCCTCCTGCCTCCACATCAGAATAACCTCTTCACTTTAGAGGCCCCCACCCATCACATCAGAGTCTTCCCTATACATCAGAGGCCCCAATACATGATAGCTCTACATCACATCAGAGCCTCCTCATCACATCACCTTTGCATGCCGCCTGCCCTGGATTGGAGTCACGCACTGCCAGGTGCTGGATGCCATCACCACAACAATGTCAAATGCTGTTGTGTGTCTTGACCATGACCATCATTCATCATTATGCAGCTGTCCTGCTCACACCATGGCTTACCCAGTGACAACTGGATCTTCTGCTTGTGGCACCCCTAAGGAACCCAGTCGGCACCCTGGTTGAGAAACACACACTGTAGATAACCTATTTTCACCCGCTACCCAACCCCCTCCCTTCCCGAAGTGCTCCATTCCCAAAACTGTGAACAACTACACTATAGCTATGCTGGGAAAGTGAGCCCTGCCTGTCTTGTGATAAGCCATTACTGAAATCCACATATATTAATAATGGATTAAAAGGTATTCTTACTTACATTTCATTTGTAATTTAGTTCAAATTAAAAAAAAAAAAAAAAACATATGGCAGGTTTATATTATTTTCCTTGCAAGGAATTTCAACACTTCAAATATATTGGTTAATTGAATCCATGAATAAACACTATTTGTTGGAAATATTAAATCAGCAAAATCAAAGAAACCCTGAAAATAATATTCTCTAGAACCATTCATTTCTGAATACCAATGAGTTTTTCTTCCCTACAGGCATCATACTATGTAATTATTAAATACTCCAGTGTATTCCGCCAGTTCAGCTAATGTAGCTACTGATTGGCCCTTGACAATTCTTGTAGGTTTGTCGTTCTGTAGGGAATGAAGTCAGCTGCTAAAATTAACATCCCTGTGTTGTGTTTTTTAAAGCAAATTACTAAAGCTTTCCGTACTACACGGATTCATAGAGCCAGGAGTAGATGCTTTGTTTCATGGTGGGGCTGTGTGCTCCAGCTGCGGTGATGTCATTTCACAAGATATTGATAAGTTCCAATGATTCTTCCTCTACGCGAGCAGCGGGGAAATTAGTTGTTCCGTTCCTTGTCATCGATTGGCTTACTGGAAGACTGCCAAGGATGATGCTTTGTCTCCCACCCTTGTTGCTGATAAACAGCCTTAGGCCTGGTTCATACCAATGCAGTTTGCTTTTGGTCCATGTTTGCAATGCTTTTTGCATTTCATTTTGCATTTTTACTGCATTTTTGCAGCATTTTTTGTTTTTTGTTAAAGGGGTGCTTGTTACTGGGCAGAATAAAAATGCAAAACACGTCAAAAGCGCAGCAAAAACGTACTACATGCATTTCAGCAGCTTCTCCATTGAACTCTATTGCAGCAAAAACACAGCTTTTTGTGTTTAAAAAAAGTCCCTGACCCTTTCCAAAAACGCAGAAGCTGCTCAAAAAAATCATTCAATATATGTGAACGTGTCCCATAGGAAACCATGTTAAATTATTAATATTATACAGGATTTATATAGCGCCAACAGTTTGCTCAGCGCTTTACAATATAACGGGAGACAATACAGCAACAATACAGTTCAATACAAGAGGGGATAGGAGGGCCCTGATCCTTGGAGCTTACAATCTAGGAGATGGACTGTAGTATGTTTCTGCAAAAAGCATTAAAAAATGCATTGGTGTGAACCAGGCCTAAGTGAGGCCCAGCTATCCCTCCAATGCTAGCACTTGTTTTCATCAGGCCCAATCTGCTTGCACAGCAGTAATTAATGGCAGATTTCTAGAAACCAGCATAAATACTCAGGAGCCAGAATAGCACCTTGGTGGCCACAGTATGACAATACAAATATGAGTTGATTTTTGATGTTCTAAATCTTTTATAAACTTTTCTTAATCATTTACTTTTTGTAATGTTGCTTTTGTTCAGGAGTCCTTAAAGGCATTGTTCACTTCCAAACAGGGGTGGACTGACAACTCATGGGGCCCCCGGGCAATATTGGATCATGGGGCCCCTGTGTCCTTGATCAAAAAAAAAAAAGCCTATGAAAAAGGTACCAGGGGCATCTCATGGGGCCCCCTACTGACCCCGGGCCCTTGGGCAGTGACCCAGTTTCCAAATGGTCAGTCTGCCCCTGCTTCCATATGTTTCTGGTGTTTTAAACTAGGTATTATTGTAGTTTTTACACCAATCGGACATAATATTATAACCACTAACAGGTAAAATGCATAAGATCGATTATCGCATTACAATGGCATCTGAAAGTAGGTGGGATATAGTTACATAGTTAGTCTGGCTGAAAAAAGACAAAAGTCCATCCAGTTCAACCATTGAAAAAAAGAAAATTATAATCCTATACCCACAGTTGATCCAGAGGAAGGCAAAAAACCCAGCAAAGCATGATCCAATTTGCTCCTGCAAGGGGAAAAAATTCCTTCCTGATCTTTTTTAATTAAATTCATAGCTTAGACATAGTAAACTGTGTTTACTATGCTTCAGGTTATGAATGAACGGAAAACTCTGTACAAAGCTATTCTCCATTCACTCTGTGCAGCTGAGGCTGCAGAGGAGGAGACGGAGGTGTCCTCAATCTCCTTTCTCTGTCTCATAGATGAACATCAGAGGTCTGTTTAGACCCCTGACATTTCACCAAAGTCCCCCAATGGGGGTACTTAAAAATTTGAAAGATAATAAAAAATAAAATGTTTAAAAAAAATAAATTAAATTAAATGGTAAAAAAATAAAATAAACTAATGACATCAGTAGCGGAACTACCAGGGTCACAAAAGGTTGTTCTTGTGACCAGGCCCTGGTGTTCCACCACCACAGGGGAACCCAAGACAGCAGGAAGAGGTCCTGCTGTGGGACTGTAATAAAGTGCCCTACAATGGGAGTAAAGGGCCCTGGGATTAGTAGAAAGGGCCCCTTCCAGGGGCTGGGAGGAGGTCCTTCATGGTTTCTTGCTCCGGGTCCCTGTCGGTGACAACATACCTTCAGAGGTCTAGTGGAATGGAAGATTTGCATGGTGATCCCTCTGTTAATTGCTCTGCTTGTTTGTGTCTGTTTCAGATCTAATTACTATTTAGCGCTCACATGAAGAGCACTAGACTAAGAGACCCAGAGATCGTGGGATATGTAGTTTCTTAATCGTAAGTGTCAGTTCTTAGACTACAAACAGAGGTAATGCATTAACCTGTGCAGTGCCATGCTGCATGCCTCATGTTAGAACACAGACAGGCACTGCTGACACCTGTGAAGATTTACTTTACTACAGGCTGTGCATACAGGACAACAAATGGCACCATAAAACTACACGGTCAACGTACATCATATGGAGACAAAACACACAAGGTGCAGACAGGAAGGTTTATAATGCCTTTAAGTGGACCATGGATCTTTCAGGAAAGCAAATAATTCATATAATGCAGTATGACTAAGCTCTTTGCCAGCAAAGCAGATGTTCCCTTGCAATAAATTACAATTTATTAGGTAAAAAAAAGGAGAAGTACTGTATGAGTCAAGTGTAATAATAATTTGATGAAGACAAACGAATGCATAAAAAATGATGATTTTAAATGTTGATTGTCCATACACACGATATGTTCACCTGAAATAAGAAAAGGATAATGCCAAAATCTGTCTTGAGAGTCCAAAATGCTTGGCGCTCTCTGTTTTTCTTATTTCACTTCATTTTGGTTGGCCCTGTTTTTCGGGAAGGGTGGACTACTTTTTGTAAAGCTGCCGGAGCTAAGGCAACAGACATTAGTGATGATTCCTTGTTACAGGTTAAAGTGATTTTAAGCTTTCCATTTTTTAAGCATTTTCGGCAGTTGATTTAATAACCTACTGAGTATTCAGCATCTTTATCTTTTAATCCTTGTTTATATTCCAGTTTAAGCTGGTGCCATGACTGCTGCCCCAAGTTTCCTTTTTCAGGGTGACTTCTTTCTCTTGCAGCATCCTATGGAGTTTTTCTTGCATGCAAGGACTGAAACAAGACAGCCCCATAGCCTAGGATGACAAAGCACTACCCTGCTCCTTCCTACTCTCCCTCACTTCTCAAAGCTAACAGACTGGCTCCAGACTGCACTGTGCACTGTTAACTTCTTCCTGTGAAGACTGGAAGTTCAGGGCAACAGCACTGGGTGAGCAGGAGCCAGCAGCACTGAAAGTTGTAAACATCAAGTGCTTTCATAAGAATTTTACCAGATAGTTTAACACCTTACCGCCTG